TTATGAACCATATCAAGTGAGCTAAGTAGAAACTAAATATAAAACAAATTATTTTACTAATAATCGTTATTTTACTAATAAACTAAATTAAAACTAAAATCGATATTTGTGCTAAAATATACAATAGTTGGTTATAATAAAAATATAAAACAGGAAAGTGAGAAAACTAATTACTATTTACTTGTAAACAGTATATCCATCAGTACTGAAATAGTCTGCACTTTTGCAGGATTATCCAAGTTTTGTATTTAACCCGATAGTTTATTTTCTGATGAACTGATGAGACGATGCTCCAAAAGCTTTTGGGCTAGTACATTGTTAAGTGACTGAACTTTTTTAACGAAATGTTAAAAGTTTTTAAATACATTTTTATAAACAGAGCAATCGTTATGTTCATTATCTCTAACAGTTCGTATTAACATTGGAAATTTGTATTGTAAAAGAAACAATTTTAGACATGCATCAAATGCGGTAAATACATTTATTAATGATACCATGTTATTCTTTTATTTAACTTATTCCGTCATTACAAAATTTAATAATTAAATAGTATATTTTACAAACAAATAAAATTTTTTTTCTTATTTTCCTATTATATAAGTATTAAGAAAAAAATGTCAAATATAGCAAAAATATTTTTAAGAATGAAAATACGTACAAAACAAATGAATGTAAAAAAAAAAATTAACAAAATTTCTCATAATTCGAGCGTACATAGAAAATTAGTTTCTTTATTATATGGACTGATAAAAATCGTGAATAAATTGCAAAATCAAAACTTTCAATTGTTGTTAAATCATTATAAATGATGTTTTTTTCAACAACTCTAAAAAAAAAGAATACAAAAGTTGTATAAAAATTTATATTAAAAAAAAAAAATTCTTTTTTACTCTTTTTAATTATTACATTTTCTAGTCTATTTTATTAAACTTGATATTTCTTTACAATTTTGTTTCCTTTTTTTAAGATTGTTTTTTTTTTTCTTAGTAGATAAGTTTAACTTTTTGCTACAAATTATTGAAACACTTTAAAAGTTAAAAGATGCAAATTGCTGTAGTCAGTTAGTCTATAAAAATTACTTTAAATGTGGATGAACAAGGCGTGCGAACACACTCGTTTATTGAAATTGCTTGACTCTATTTATCTAGATAAATTAAATAGAATACAAGAAATTGTATCATACTGCCTTGATCTTTGCTCTAGCTGTGAACTAATCACAAAATGCGTATAGTTTGGTCATGATTTTGTCTGGCTTTAAAAAAGAAATAAACATAAAACATAAAAAATACAAATTAAGTAGTAAGATGGATATACTGTTTCCTTTTTCTTCTCTTAATTACCTGCTTTAACACTGAACATCTGTTCAAAATATTATAACTAATAAACTAACACTTTTTGTAATCAATTACTTATTTTCTTTCAGGCATTTATGGCTAAATATGTTCCACTAGTGACTAGACTTACTTGTTCTAGTTGCAAATCATATATAGAAAAAAAAACTCTTGTTTTTTTGTTTTTGTATGCATTTAGGTTAAATGAAAATGGCAGTTACTAGTAGAAATAATACTAACAGGTCTGTAACTTTCATAAGCTGATATGACATGACTTCTTGTTGAATAAATTCTTGAACAAAAACTTGTCTATTCTTGATTTATTGTTAATGTTTTTTTTTTTTTTTAAATCCTTAATAGTGCATGGAAAAAACATTAAAAACACAGACTAGTAAGTTGAAACAAATATTCCTTATAACCTGTTGAAAATTAAATTATCTAAAATTTGTTGAAAATAAAAGTCTCTAAAATCGGTTGAGAAAAAAATCGGTTGAAAATATAAACATCATTATTAGGTCCAAAAAAAAAAGACTATAATTGGTGGAAACAATATAGGTCTCAGTAGGACATCTAAAAATTATTTCCACTTTTTAGTAGATGTTTAATTTGTAGATCAAGTTTGTAGGCGCAGGTTTTTGTAGATTGAACTATGCGACACAGTTATAACGTTGTTGATATTATTATATTAATAGCCACACTCTTACAGATTCCTCTACTTTATGTCTTCTTGGATTATTAATCAATACTGACTTCTCATAGAAATAATATGTACAATCCTTTGCAAAGTTAGTTTTCTTTATCATACACTTCATTTTCATGTTCCTAATTCTAATCTCCATCTCTTAATTATAAATCTTTCATTTATCCATGTATGGATTACTGTTGTCACACTTGGACTGATTCTTCTAAAGTTCCAAACTTAATCATTTGTTCATTTTAGATTGCTTTCTCTTTTCTACTTAGTTTCTGCTCAACTCAAATATTTGTAAAGCAAATTTATTTCATTAAAACAATTTCTTCTGACAGCAAACAGTTTTTATGTCCTTTAGTTAAAATGAGATGCAGTTGTAGCTTGTTTAAAAATCTTTTTAACATTTTATATCTATATCTTTTTAATTGATCTATTTTTTTGGTTTTTTATTTACTCTTCTTTACTTAACAACTTAGTCTTGTTATTTTATACAAGTTTTAGTATTTTAAAAATACAGATTTTTTTTGAAATTAAAATTTAAAAACTAAACAAATGCCATTTTTAGATCATTTCCATCTGTTATTTTTAAAAGTCATTTTTATAGGTCATTATCAGGTGGTTTATCTTAGTATTTATTTATTTGTTTTATTTTTGTTAATTTTTTATTTATTTACATTTATATATGATGAATCACTTACTTTAAATTAAAGTTTATTTTGTAGTTGTTATAAATATCATTTATTTTTTAGCTTTTTTATTTTTAGCATTTTTTTATTTTTAACTTTTTTCTATTTTTAGTTTTTCACTAACATTGATTGATACATTAGATACACTTGCAGTAAGATTTATTAATTTTTTTTTTTTAATTTTTGTTTAGGATAGACTAGGGTTTTATGAGCACCTTAAACAAAACTTGGAATATTTTCAAAAATAATGCTGGATCCAAAATTTTTATGAATAAACAATTTTTAGGGACACTACTCAAATATAAGTGTATCACACTTATATTTAGGTACCAGAAGTTTTTTTCTTAAAAACATAAAGGCTTTAAAAAAGTAGCAAAAGTGCATTCCATGCAAACTGGACCAAGGTCCAACATAGAATCCCTCAGATTTTGATGAAACTTAATGGGTTTGTTAATATCAATGAGAAAAGCAATTCTTGGGTTATTTAAAGATTAGTTACCTAGGATTATTTTCATACACCGGATGAGATGTTTTTTGTTTTGACACAGGATGAGTTACTAGAACTATATAAGGGTTGTTGGCTTTTTGCCAACAACCTTACTGGAACGGTTTTTTGTCGGCTTTTTTGCAACTGATTGAAGGTGATATCTTCCATGCTATGTCTATCAAACAAAGCAGTAAGATACTTTTTTAGTGTGTTGGTATTTGGGGCAATTATTGCAACTGTGCAGCATGCTGTCTCGATTTGTTAAGTCACATATTAAATTAGAAGAAAAAAAAAAGTCTTTTTAAAACCAGTGTTAATCCTAGGTAACCGGTGGTTTGAAGTTGAGGCACATTTTCCTAAGTTTTAGCCACAGCCATTTTTAGAGGTCTATAATTTTTTACTGAATTGTATCTTATCAGTAAATTTCTAAATGTTTAGAAGGCTACCATATATAGAAACTAAAAAAATATTCTTTTCACTTCTTAAACTGCAGGTTTTGTATATTGACTCATCAAAAATCAACTTTTTATACTTGCAAACAATTTTTTCGCTTTTTTAGGTAGCCATTATGGAAAAAATGTGGTATTCACGAAATCAATGTCAAAGTTTTTTTAAAGTGCATCTAGAGTTTTATACAATAAAAAAAACTAAAAGGTTTTTTGAAATTTTATTTTCAAAATATAAAGCTTCAAAGTATGAACAAAACATGTTTTTGCTACTGAAGTTTTTATTTTTGGAAAAATCAGAAATTTCAAATGACCCAAATGAACCGCAAAAGATTTTATGCTGAAATTTTCAAGAATTGCTTTTCTCATTGATATTAACAAACCCATTAAGTTTCATCAAAATCTGAGGGGGTCCATGTTGAAATCCTAAAATTTTGGTCCATTTTGCATGAAATGACCCATTAACTCAAAAAAATAACAGTAAAAGTAAAAAAATACTAACCTGATTAAATTAAGTAAAAAAATTCCACCCATTTGTTGAATATAATGATTCGTTATTAACAATACTTATCATTAAAAGATCAAATTTTAAGTCACTTTAATTGAAAAAATTCTTAGTATAAGATTCTTAAAAAGATATTTAGTTTTGTCAAAATATTAAAATTTTTACTATGTTTGTTTTTATTCAAAAAGCAATTAAAACCACTGCAATTTTAGGACTTTAAACCAGGTAATTTCAGTGAAAAACACTGGGTATTTTGAGCATACTCATATTACACAAAAATGATATCTTTAGATATTGTCAATACTAAATATTTCCATGTATTGTTTTTCAGATTAAGTTAAAACATATTTCTAGCTAACATATTTTTCTTTATGAAAAATTAAATTTCATTATTTTAGCATCAAAATTCCATGCCACAGATTTATTTATGCGCAATGATAATATTTTAATAACACAAAAAATTTACTAGCATTTTAATTTGATGAGAGCTGCTAATTAAATTAAATTTACACTGATTCCTGCTATCATCACATAAAGTAGATTCAAAAAATTAAAAGCAACTTTAACTTCACTGCTTATATCTTAGAAATTTTTTAATATGCTCATATTATCCTATATTGTTTTTTCTTGTTATAATTTTTGTATTAGGATTTTTTAGATATTTTGGATTAGGCCTACAATTAAGAATTTTTATTTCAAGCAATCCTGTTTTCATACTAAATCATGATTATATTGAAATTTCATTGGTGAGTCTTATCTACTAAAACTCAGTCTGTTAATTCTTAGGCTGTCTAGTTTTCTGAACTCTGTGCTTGCTCTAACAGAGACACTCTGATAGTTCTTTTGATGTGCATTGATGAGGCCAACATAGAGTGCCTTTTATTTCAACTTTGAATTGATTAAGGAACTATGGCAACTACAAAGCTTACTAAATATGATGATAAGTCAAGTTTTTAAATAAATTTGATTCTCTAATAAAGTTTATTAAAGAATCAAGTTCTCTGATAAACTCAAAATGTGGCTTTACTCAATATAATAAACATAAAAAAATCATCATCACTATCTAATTGCTTCAATCTATCTTTCATAAATATTAGTGGTCTTCAAAAATACTTTTTATTCATTGAATCTTAGCTTGCAAAGATCTTTTATTTAATTAATTAGAATCTTGTCTCTGATCCTTGATTGTGACTTATTTCCTTGTTCTCCTTTGATTGTTTGGACCACGCCATATTTTTATCTCAATCTTTTTTTTTAGAGTCACTCTGTTGTCTCACTTCTCTCTACTATCTTAAGGTTGGCTGAGATCTCTTGTGATTGTCTTCATGATGGCCCTTGTTTTAATGTCTTATTTGTCTCTCCTGATAATTGCTCTTTCTACATTATCTCCTTGTTGCTTTAAAGTTGAGCTTTTATTCCTTTTTGTTGCTTTAAAGTTGAGCATGACTTGTCATTCAGCAAAGTTACTTCCTTTTACTATATCTGTTAGTTCATGTTTTAAAAATTTATATTTGTGTATTTTTTTCCCTTGTGCATTAATGTTTTTGAATCTCCTCCATGTCTTTGTTTTCCTAAATCATACAATTTATAACTTTTTAAGTCTTCTGACAGCTGTTTTCTTGCTTTTCAGCTTTGTTTTCTGTTAACTCCCAACTTAAATAGTGATTGCTTGCAACCTTGTTGGGAGTGAATTAGTTTAAAGAAAACAAAAAAGTGCCAAATTTAATTTCTTTTTAGTTATAAACACACATATACTCATATACTTTATTTTTGACTGTAGTTTTCTAAAGTGTTAAAAATAAGGGCTGGGGTTTTCCCTTAACACTTTGAGTAAATTTTTTTACTCATTTCATGAAATTTACTCTCACCAAATAAAATTTCGTGATAATAAAAGGTGTGTGTATAATAAGGTATGTGTATATTATAAAATTTCTAAAAAATATAAAGCGGTTGTAATATGATTTATTTTGTTTTTAATTTTTAAATGTTTTTAGGTTCTCGGTAGGATTGATGAGTTTGAGGAACAAGTTCGATTTGTTATTCAAAATGTGTCATTTAATACAGATGTTGTGGTTTCTGTTTTTGAAACTAATATTAGGGTACTTGGGTAGGTTTTTTGTTATCACTCATTAAAAATAAACTTGAATTGTTTTAAATTTATCAATTTACTTGCATTGCAGGGTGAGTAAAAAATCTAAAAAATTCAAGTAAAATATTGCCTTTAAAACCCTGCTCTTTATTGTAGATTTTCAATTGTAATAATTGATATTTTATTAGATATAAGTGAATTTTATAGTTAATCTTATCATTGAGCAAAAAATGTGTAATCAATCAATATGTTTAACGGACTTGTAATCTTTTTAAATTTCAAAGTTTTTTGTGTTGCTTTATAAATATTTTAAAACTTTTTGGGAACTTTTAAATTATTTTTAGGTTGCAAGAAAAATATTATGTTTAATTATTATACTATGCTCTTTTTTTAATATGCTTAACACTACTTTCTCTGATTAATTTTTTTTTTAATTTTTTGATTTAAATTTCTTTATCAATTAGTTTTATTTGTCATTGTTTATATAAATTTGTAGAAAAAATAAGGCAAAACAAAAATAACAAAAAAAAATTTTTTTTTTTCTTGTTAATAAAATTCTCTTGTTTTATTTAAAAAGAAGAAAAAATTAAAAAAAAAATGATGTTCAATTTTTCAATTTTTAGAGGGATTCTTAAACCTCTAGCTAGGGTACTAGATGGTTTTGGCACAAATAACTTATTGTGGCATTACAGAAAATTTTGTGACCACACAAAAAAGAACTCATGAGCGTTAAAATTTATAAGCAAATGTTATGTTAATCATGTTAAATATTATGTTAATTATGCATTGTTTTTGAATAATTAACCTAACGATGGTATGCATTGACTAGTGTTTGCTTACACAGGTTTTGAAATACAAGAAATTGTAAAGATAAGTTGTTTTTGGTATATTCTTTTAAATTAAATGAAAAATATTTATTGAAAACTATGATTTTTAAAATTATTTGCCCAATAAAATAGTTGTAACTTATTAAATGTTTCAAATTTTTTATTAAAAAAAAAAAAAAAAGATAATCTTGGTCTGAACAATACTCTTATAAATATGTTTCAATGTGTTTTGTATTTTTTTTTTCAGTGGTCTACTTGGTGCTCATTTTATGTCTATTGAAATAAAAATGTCTGGAAAAGGTATGCTTTGGTATCAAAATGAGCTACTGAGTAAGGCTGTAGATATTGGAGATAGATTACTCGCTGCATTCAATACAACCACAGGAATACCATATCCAAAAGTAACAAATATGTTTGTGATATTTGTGTTCTAAAGGTTTATTTCTTTTAAAACTGTTCTCTTCAGTTTCTTTTTCGCTTTATTATAGTTTTTATGTTGTTAATTTAGGTTAACTTAAAGTATGGGGTCAACACTCCTTATTCTCGAGTAGGACATGAGACAGACACTTGTACTGCATGTGCTGGAACTATGATTATGGAGTTTGGAGCATTAAGTAGACTTACTGGTAATCAAATATATGAGGTATCTAGTTGTAATGTTTTAAAACTTAAACTTGGGTGATGGCCTAACATTTCTGAAGATATAAGTTTTTTTTTTTTTAAGATTATATGTTAAAATTATTCGCAACTATGGTGTCCTAAAAGGGCTGTTACTAAGATAAAATATCAGTTACTATTATGTGAATTAAACAGTAATATTGTTATTTAGATTTTTTTTAAATTTAAGGTTTTTTACTATAAGTGTTTCAATCAAAAGTTATTATCTTCATAGAATAATAGTAGTGAAAATCTTTCTAGACAATGAATCTTTCAATAAATTCTTTTCACACAATTTGTTCACTAATAATTTAAATAATGAGTCTTCCAATAGAAAATCTTTCTGAAAATGAATATTTAAATGAAAGTACTACTAGACAATAACATCTTCTGATAAAAGGCATATAGGCGATGAGTTATTAAATGAAGTAATGTATAGATAACAAAAAGTACTTCTTAATAACCTATAATCTTAATAAACTATCAAAATAAAGAATTCTTAATAACCAATATTAAGTTTTATTTTCAGAAAATTTTTAATGAATTAAAAATTAAATATTTACAACTTAATTGAGAAAAAAAAAAGTACATGAATTTTATTTTAAATTTTTTTTTTTCAAAATATCTTTCAAAAATTTTTTTACAATAATTATTTAAAAAAACCAATAGTAAGAAATCAAAAAACTTACATTTCAATCATGTGAATTTAATTTACTGTTAAGTTAAGTGAACAAAACTATTAATCCCTTTTTGTGTTGAAGTGGTGTGTGCTGTAGTGATGTGTGGTGTAGTAGTGTAATGATAGAACACTTGCTTTATTGTTTAGTGATAAAATACTTGCCTCATAGCTTAGTGATTTATTACTAAATTATAACTATATCACAAAACACTTGCAGTTGAAAAATAACAAGTTTGATCCCTACTGTGTCTATGGTAGTAAAAAACTAGGATTTGCAATGTTTTATAAGCCTTGAATATTTTCTGACATAGTTGAAGGCTTAGCCCACCTAACCCTTCCAGAAATTTTGAAACCAAGTTAGTAACTGGGGCATTAAAAGCAAATCTCATTGTACATAAGCAAATATAAAATCTTGAGCATACCAAGCATCAAACTATACATTTTTCTACCACCAGTTGTCACTCTAATATATAATTTCATAATATATAATTCTTTTAAAAATACAATTTCAGGAATATAACTCACTTCTGCAAAATACCTAATCAAAAAACTCATTTTTTAAAGCTTTTATGTGGTAGTAATTAAATGGTAGAAAAATCACATGCATAAGCAGGAGGTAGTTCTGTATTTAACTTATTTTTCTACACAGAAGTCTTGTACTATTGAATATTTTAGAAAACTTTAAGACAAAATATCATTGCCTTCTCTTGGTTTATTCATGGCTAATTTTTAAAAGAAATGATAATAAAAATATTTTCAATAAAATTTATTCTTATTTAAATTTAATCAACTAAAAAATCCATTCAACTCTTTATAAAATATAAATTAGTTTTAAAAATTAGAAAGAAGTTTTAACTTCTTTCTAATTTTTTTAAACATTAAAATGTTTTAATTGAGCAGCAATAATACAGTGGTTAGAGCGCTTGCCTCAGAAGCTAGTGATCTGTGGCTCAATGTTTCCTTGGCAAGTTTTATAACATCAGTAAGGAAGGAGGCATAAACTTCCTTTCAAGTGCTTTTCCACAGTGCTTTGTGATAAGACTGTAAGGACTTCTTGGATATATATACATATATACATTTACTAAAGCGTATTTTTATAAGCATTTGCTCACTTTTTTTGCTTACCTTAACCCATACAGCTTTTTTAGAAAAAGAAGAAAAAAACGAAGATATATATGATGAATGAAACGACTGCTTCCCCATCCCAAACCCTCAGTCGATGTAGCAGCACTCCACTGCCAGTCAGGCTGTTTGTCAGTCGATGTATGTACTGAAGCCCCCAGCAGCAGGCTATTTCAGTATGATGTCAGATTGTTTACCTTTGCAATACTGTTTGTATATATATATATATATATATATATATATATATATATATATATATATATATTATTATATATATATATATTATTATATATATATATATATATATATATGTATAAAATATTTATTTTGATATTCGCCATTCTTTTCAGTAAATTTGATTTCAATGGGTTTAGGACAAGGCTCATAAAGCAATGGAAGCGCTATGGATGTATCGAAGTCGTCATAGTGATTTAGTTGGTACAACAATTAACATTCACAATGGCAATTGGATAAGAAGAGGTAAAAAAAAAAAAAAATTACAGTAAAATAAAATTTATCCTAAAAGTCTTAGAAAAAAACATCAACATATAAAAAAAAAAACATACAGAAAAAAAATACAGAAAAAAAAAAATCTTCTTAAGAGCCGTTTTCTGATAAAACCAGACAAAAGTATTGTTAGCTCAAAAGTGATATCCTTTGATCGCGCTCAATTTTTTATACAGTAACACCGATATGGTAATAAAGAAGCCTGTAAATTTTTTTTTCAAAATATTTATAATATCTGAGTTAAGGTTGGTCAAACTTTTCCCTGTTTTATACTTGAAAAGTCACTTTTGGGGTTTTATGATTTTTAAACTCACATTAAAAGCAATGAGACCACTGCAACCTAAGTTTCTTTTCATATTATGAAAGTATAGGAACTTAAAAAAAAACAAAAAAAAACCTGAGGACAACTCTTGCCTTTGTCTAAAAATTATAGGCTGAAATCACACATTTTTGAATTTGGGGCCTATTTTAAATACATTTATCTTGGAACCTAAAAGGTGCCCGCAACTTATCTTATCCTTTTTGGAAAGAGTATTCCATTGTTATTTGAATGGTCTAAAGAAACTGAAAAGATTTTGTTTACAAAAAAAGTTGAGTCATCAGTGTCAAAAAATGTTTTAACCAGCGTTCAAATATCAGCCATTATGGAAAATGAGAAAGGTCCTAAGAATGAGGATACAGATTGTATTTTACTACATGTTACAGTTTATTTGATGAAAAAAAAACTTAGGGGGTAGTATTGCATTGTTATAATAACCTATTAAAGAGGCCAGCTTTTCCTGATGTTATAAAGTACAATGACAGTGAAATCATTTGTGGAATTCTACTTCCATTACCGTTAAAATAGCAAGTTTAAAGTTAAAGACATAAGAATAAAGGTATGTAAAAATGATTTATAACGCAAACAATGGCATAACAAGATGAATACACTTTATCTTTTTATGTCATTCACTTCAAAAAGTTAAATTTTTTATATATTTAAAAAAAAACGAATGTCGCAGCGGAGTTAATCAATATATTATATTATGTCTTTATCTTGTTATGTCATTGTTTGCGTTATAATTCATTTTTACATATCTTTATTCTTATGTCTTTGATTTTAATCCATCGTTGCTTGAAATTCCTTTTGTGCTTTTTCGAATTGTTTATCTATAAGCTTATAGTCTCCGTGCTGTTTTAACAGTAATGGTGGTTGAATTCCACAAATAATTTTTTTTTTTTTTTTAACATCTTCGCTTCCAACAAGGCTACAAGCAACCACTAATTAGTGTTGGAAGTTACTGGAAGAGAAAAGATGAAGATTGTAGAGCAAGATAACGATTGACAGGCGACTTAAAAGATGCTAATTATATGAATCAGAAAATCAAGATGAAGGAAGCGAATTCCAAAGAACTGATGTTCGAGGAAAAAAACTAGACAAATAAGATTTTTGGAGCACTTAAGACAGTAACTAAAAAAGGATGAGACTTAATTGAATGACGAGTTACAAGAGAATGAATTTTAGTAGATGGCACAAGAGAAGCTAGCTCTTTGGAGCCGTGTCCATTATAGTATTTGTAGAAAAGAGAAAGAGAAGCAACATTACGACAAGGTGACAGAGGTTGAAGGTTGGCTGCAAGAGCATGTCAAACTATGTTTACAATGCGTTTTTGTACCTTGTCTTAAAGAGAAAGCGCCTCATTAGAAGATCTCCCCAGATACATCAACAGTATTCCATACAAGGTCGGATTTGAGATTTATAGAGATAGAGAATAGAATCCAGAGTAAGAAAGTGTCAAGCTCGATAAAGAGATGCAACTTTAGCAGATGCTAATTTTGCAACGGATTTGATAGAAGGTTTCCAAGAAAGATCAAAAGTAAGAGTTAATCCTAGAAGATGAAGGGTAGGAGACTCATTAAGTACATTACCGTTCATAAATATAAGAAGGTCTAAATTATTGCGATAAAGATTGACTGAAAAAAATTGAGTTTTATCTGAATTAAAGTTCACCAGCCACTGTGAGCCCCATGCTGTAGCAGAAGTGAGATCCTTTTCAAGCTCAGATGCTCCCTGCAAGCAATCAGAGGGAGTTGGCTTCTTATTGTAACAAGAATAAATGGTAGTGTCATCAGCGAACAATGCCACCTTAGATGTGAGAATATCTAGAAGATCGTTAATGTAAATTAAAAAGGGTATAAGGCCAAAGATTGAACCTTGAGGAACCCCTGAGGTTACAGAATAAGAAGAAGAGTGCTGTCCATCAAGGACAACTTTTATACTATGATTGGAAAAAAAGGATTCAATAATCTTAAAGATGTTTCCAGATACACCGTAAAAAGAAAGCTTATGAAGAAGACTAGCATGCCAAACTTTATCAAACGCTTTAGAAATGTCAAGAGCAATGGCCTTAACCTCTCCACCTTTATCTAATGCACGATAAAACCTATCAGTTATTACTGTTAGCAAATCAGCTGTAGAACAAAAAGATCGAAATCCATATTGATGATCAGAAAGTAGCTTATGAGATTCAAGATGAGAGATAAAGTGTTTGTTCATTAAAGATTCAAAAACCTTGCTTATGATAGGAAGAAGACTAATGGGACAGTAGTTAGATGAATCGAATTGCTCTCCAGAATTTTTAAATATAGGGATAACAGATGCTGCTTTCCAGCAGGCCGGAAAACAAGACTCTGTTGAATAGTTTTAAAAGGATAGATGACAGCTCCTGAGAACACTTCTGCAAGACTATAACAGGTATGTTGTCCGGGCCGCAAGCCGTAGAAGAGTCTAAGCAGGAAATCACTTTAGATACAGAAGCTGGAGTGATACGAATGTCGAGCAATGGATCAACCTGTTTGACGGCTATATCAGGTAGAGCGCAACTAGTGGAGTCAAGAGATGATATTGATAAAAAGTTCTTAGCAAACAACTCTGCTTTGTCTTTAGATGAGGTGACAAAGTCTGAACCATACAAAATAGGTGGAATTACAGACTTGTCCTTATTATTGATACTATTAAAGGTTGTCCAGAAGTCACGAGAACCTAACTTTTGTGATGAAATACGAGATTTCATGATCTGAGAATAGCGGGCTTTGGCATTAGACAAAACCTTTTTACAATGGTTCCTAGCAGTAATAAACAGACGTCTGTTTTCTGGAGAATTGTTTTGCTGATAGATATGGAAGTAATGGTTTCGATTGACAATTGCAGCAGCACAATGCGAAGAAAACCATGGAGAAGAGTGAGGCTTGACCTGGAGTCGTCGAGAGGGAATAAAGGATTCCATGCCAGCCTGAATCCACAAGTTATGTAAGAAGCACATTTGTCAACAGGGAGACGAAAGATTTCTACCCAGGGGCCATCACGAAAAAAATCACGGAAAGAGTCCCAGTCAGCTTTAAGGTAGTTGTAAGGTGTTTGATAATAGGGGGATTTTGATGATAAAGAAGAATGAGATGATAGTTTTAGAGAGACCAAACCATGATTGGAGGCACCTAAGGGTGAGTGTGGAGAAACTTAGCACTGACTAGGATCAGAAACAAGACATAAGTCGAGTAGAGAAGGTAAATGATTCGGGTTATCTGGAAAGCAAGTTGGAAAGTTGACTATTTGAGTTAGGGATTGAGAAAGGCAAAAGTTGTGGGCCTTAATGCCTGCAGAGTCACTGACACTAGAGCTAAGCCATTCAGTGTGATGAACATTGAAGTCACCGACAACAGCAATATTGGCTGATGGATAAAGAGAGAGGGCTTGGTCAATATGATCAGAAATAACCTCAAGAAGAGTGCAGTCTTGAGATGAGGGAGAGCGATATAGAACAAAGAGAAAGGTGATAGAGTGAAGTGGCGCTAAATGAAAGCCCATAAAAGAGTAGTTCGTGGATTTAAACCTAGTTTCCCGACAAATGGGTGAATTCTTACGAATGTAAATGCCCAGGCCAAGCATGTGACTGTTGGAGTCTTTACGAATTAAAGGAAGATAACCATCACAAAGGAAGATAACAGATCACAAGATGAGACAGTTAACTCAAATTAGTCTAACAAAGAGCAAGTAGGTCTAGTGAACTTTGCAAGAGATAAGACTCAACAGAAAAAAAGTTACTTCGAAGACCACGAATATTAGTGAATGATAAGACCACGAATATTAGTGAATGGTTTAGCGAGTTTCGTGATGACTGTGGTTTTTTGTGTTTTATAGTTTTTGTTACTTTATTCATTTTTAAATTTGTTAAAGAACTTGACTCAAAACATAGATAGTACTCAGTACACTGTCTTATAACCCAAGCAATTGCCTCATTTCCACTAATAAACCCTAAGCCTTAACAAAGGGCTCCAATGTGGCCTTGGCAATGCGCACCAAAAGTACAAACAGGGACCTCATCCATGCGCAACATGGCACTGTTAGTACTTTGATATTTTTCAGCTGTTGATGGAATCAGCCTCTCTGAGAGCTACCACAGATTTCAAGAAACCTGACTACCAGCCGGCCTCAAAACCATAAAACTGAGTTTTAGAGCTGTACCCTCATTTGGGGATATTTGAATAAGTTGCCTAGTCATAGAAACAGAGATACAAGCAAAACCCATGCATCGAGTCAAGAAGATCCAGCGTTCAACATCCTAAACTGGAAATAATGTATTAAAAATACATCTGTGCCAGCCTAATAGATAAAGAAGGGGTGCGAGGCTGGTCAACAGATACAATCTGCCTACCCCTTATTACACTATCTTTGTACTTTATAACATCAGGAAAAGCTGGCCACTTAAAAAGGTTCTTGTCTGCAGAAGCATACTTCATACAGCTCACCATGTAACCATCACTGAGAACCTAATATGAATAATGATTTTTCTAATTTGAAAAATAGTTTAAAAAATCGATATGATCAAATAATTAAAAAAAAAAATGTTTTTCTTTGAATAAAAAACCTTTTTTTTAAACGTTGAATAAAAATGAAGTACCTCATTTATAATACCAGGATACCAATTGCAGATATA